CTTCTTGGGAATGAAAATATATCTTGCTACAATGATCTCTCCGATTTGGAAGCTCAGAATCAGAAAATGGGACAAAGGAATTAAATCTTGGGGCATGAAGAATAATTTTGTGTGAGCCAAGAATTGTGAAGATATACTCCAGTGAGAAAATAAGATCGAAGAATTTGAGAATGAAGACTTCTCACGCATCTTTGCATAATTATCATTTGTAAAAACATGCATTAGCATCATTGAAATATTTTACTTACACATGCATATTTGCATCAAGCACTCATCATACATGAAAGGCTATGATTCACCTCTCTTAAGGATTTCATTAAAAAAACTTCAAAAAAATATCTTTCATAGGACCATAAGACCATTTTCCCCTCTTTTGAGGCTTCTTTAAAAAAATCTTCAAAGAAAATCTTATCTTTCTCAAGATCATTTTCCCCTTTATCGAGTACAATTTTAATATTTTCAAATAACCTTATATTTTTTAAGATCATTTTTCCTCTCTTGAGGATATCTTTAATATTTTCCAAAAAAAATGTTGTATTTCTTAAAAAATCTTGTTTTCCTTAAGAATGTTTCTCTTGAAACAAAATCTCCTCTTACTCGAGACAGTTTTCCTCGAAACAAAAATTTTATCTCACTTGAGATAGTTTTCCTTAAAAAAATTCGTCTCACTTAAGAATTTTTTTTCTCGAAACAACAATTTTATCTCAATTGAGATAGTTTTCTTAAAACAAATTTTGTCTCACTTAAGACAATTTTTCTCAAAACAAAATTTTATCACACGTGAGATTGTTTCCCTTGAAATTACTTCTCTTGAAAAACCGTTTATCTCCCTTGAGTTAGTCTCCCTTGAGATTTTTATCTTGAAACACCAAATTATATCACTTGAATTTGTTTCCCTTGAAATTGTTTCTCTTGAAATACCAGTTTGTCTCCCTTGAGACCATTTTGCTTGAAACAACCATTTCCCTTGAGATAGTATCATTTAAGATTGTTTCTCTTGAAACACCAAATTTATCTTCATTGAGATTATTTCCCTTGAAACACTAGCTTGTATCTTTTGAGATAGTTTTCCTTGAAACACCAAATGTATCTCTCTTAAGATAGTTTTCCTTGAAATAAAATTTTATCTCACTAGACATTTATTTATCTTAAAACAAAATTTTATCACACGTGAGATTGTTTCCCTTGAAATTATTTCTCTTGAAAAACCGTTTATCTCCCTTGAGTTAGTCTCCCTTGAGATTTTTATCTTGAAACACCAAATTATATCACTTGAAATTGTTTCCCTTGAAATTATTTCTCTTGAAATACCAGTTTGTCTCCCTTGAGACCATTTCGCTTGAAACAACCATTTCCCTTGAGATAGTATCATTTAAGATTGTTTCTCTTGAAACACCAAATTTATCTTCCTTGAGATTGTTTCCCTTGAAACACTAGCTTGTATCTTTTGAGATAGTTTTCCTTGAAACACCAAATGTATCTCTCTTAAGATAGTTTTCCTTGAAATAAAATTTTATCTCACTAGACATTTATTTATCTTAAAATACAACTTTTGAGATTGTTTTGAATTTTTTGTCTCTCTCGAGACTATTTCTCTTGAAAATTTTATATCATTTGAGATTTTTTTCTAAAAGTACAATCTTTGAAAGTTCTTCATTTCAAACACCAAATTTATCTCCCTTAAGATAGTTTCCCTTGAAACATCATATTTATCTCCTTTGAGATTTATTTGAAATATTATTTTCATGAAAATTGTTTCCCATGAAACAATACATTTAGTTGATTATGTTGGCAATATGACACACTTGTAAAGAGATGGGTCGAGCAAACCAAGTTTAAATGTGTTTAGATTCATTAACAAACGATATTGGTGACTTTTGCAGATCATGAAGAAACAATATCATGGACTAAATCATCAACTTTCCAGATTTGGTATGCATGAAGTGAAAATGAAATAAATCAACTCATATCATGTCTCCATATAGAAGCATTGAAGTGGATCGAAAAATCGCGGTGGAACATATCAACTTTTCAAGTTCATGCAAATAAAGAGCCACTTAAATCGAACAAAAATCAATTATTTTTTGGTCTTTTCTCTACTCTCATTTCATGATAGTGATCAAAGAAGGATAATTGTAATACCCAATTTTTGTCTAGCCTTCAAGCTTATCTAAATAGGCCTTTTTCTTGGGGAATGTTAGAGAGTCCATTCACACTAATTTTGGGGGAACAGAAAGGGTCACCATATAAGAGAATATCTTGGGGGAATCTTTTCATATTGAGTGTGATCTCCTATCAAAGGAAAGGGTTATTGCTAATTGATGTGAGTAGATAATATTAGTTGCTATTTCTTTAAATAAGAAGATCTTGTACTATTTGGGCACATCTTAGCCGTTAATGTAAATAATCTAGACTATTAGATGTTTGGAGGCTCAACTATAAATAATTGCCTTCTCAATCTCATTAGAAACATAAAAAAAAGGAGAAGAGGAGTGAGGAGAAAAATAAGAGAAAATGAGCGAGGAGAAAAAAAATAGAGTCTTTGAAGCCATTGTAATATGTTTAAAAGGAATAAAAGAGAATTCTTTTAAAAGTATTTCTTTGTTTTTTTTTGTTTTTTTTATTTTGTTTGTGTTTTATTATTATGTTCAATCTCGAATTTATTTTTATTTTTTATTTTTAAAAAGAAACTCATCGAGAGAGGAGGCCAATGAACAAGAGGTGAAGATCTTGTTTCGATCTAGCTCACCTCGAGGCTCTCTAAGGAAATCCGTTGGAAGATTATGTTATTTTAACTTTTTTCCTTTTTCTATTAACCTACTTAATTTATGTTTTAAATTTTTTAAAATGATTGTTATTTTCTTTTTATTTAATTAAGTGACCCGATGACTCGATCCGGATCTCTATGAGATTCACTTATTTTTCACACAGGTTCAAAATTTCATTTTAGTTTATTTTAAATTAACCTTTCAATCTTTAGTTCATTTTAACCAATATTTCTTTTTCTTAATTTTGATTTTTGTCGTTTGTTTTTTAATTTAATCAGATTTTTTTTCATTTTTACATGCTTGGTTTCTTAAATTTGAATCGTTTTCTTAACTTGTATATAGTATCTAATTCTTGCGTTTAATTTCCATTTTTTCCCTTTTTTCATTCTTAATTTGCTTGAAACATGTTACTTTCCCTTTTAAATTTATTTTTTTAATTTGCTTTTGGATTCTTAGATTTTCTTTCTTTTTATCAAATATAATTAAAAATTCTTTTTTATTTAGTTACTTTTCAAATCTTTATATTTATGTTTATTTTATATATTTATATTTTCTATGTATGTTTTTTATGTACATTCATTAATTCCAATTAATTTTCTATGTATGTTTTTTTTTTATATTGGTACCCGTAACTTTAACTAGTTAAATCTTGACTTTGTCTCCATAAGTTTACTTGTAATTTTGAGACTTGCCAAAAATTCAGTTTGACCACTCTTAATTCTTTGTGCTTCTCCAAGTCCAACGAACCTCCATTTCCAATCTCCTCTACTCCATTAATTTTTTTCCTCCACAACTGGTACCTTGACGTTAAAGTCCTCACAAGATTATAAATTTCACCTCTTCAATCTCCCTTCAAGCATCTCAGATTATAATTTTTCCTGATCTCCTCTTTCTCATCACCCACTATCTCCATTCCAAGATTCTTGCCCAAATTCAGCGTACGCCTAGCCCCCTTTCTCAGTATTTTCCACCTAGCCAATAACTGTCTGATAGAGAGCTATCTAAGATATCTGACGATCTCTACGCTTTCTTCTTTTTGTTTCCTTGTAACGCCCCATCTCTCTTATTCTTTTCCAGTTCTGAAACTACTTACTCCTTAAGCTGTAGAAGAGAACCATATCCCATGTCTCTTCTATTTTCACCACGCAATTCATGGAAAGCATTCTCAGACCCTTCCACATCGCTATTGGTTCACTAATATTATTACTCGTTGAACCTATTTCCTTAGAATTATTTCGTCTATCCACATTAACAGCCTAATCTAATTTTTTCTTGCCCACCCAACCTCAGTTGGGCTTTTTAATTTCCCGCCTCACCAGCCAATGAACTCGGCATAAAACCCATACTTAGGATATCATCCCTTGCACGAGTTGACAGCTGGACTTCCATAGCCCTCGATATAATAACTAACCTCCCTTGTTTTACCACGCCACTTTTCAGATTAACATATACCCCTTTCTCTGCAATCTCAATCCAACTAGACATTCCTTCAATATCAGCTGACATATTACAATCATTCTGTTTCCCGTTAACTTTAAGCCCCCTGATATTCATTATCTGGGAAATCCTTCATAGGTTCACATCCCAATAATTCAAACTTTCCTAATTGTCTGTCACCTTCTTCATCCCTCGTAATATCTTCATCATTAATGTTACTAAATAAATATAGTCAACAACTAAAGTATATGATTAAAAATTTTCAGTTAATACCTTTTATCTTGTTTTTAAGTTGTGAATTCGATATTTTTTAAGAGTAATTTTTTCTCTCTTATATAGAAATTGTTTAAAAACTAAAATAAATATATGATGCAGAATGAGAGCCGGTAGTCAACTTTAACCGTAAAAGTAATAAAAATATCATTTAATTTTGATTTGTGAGAAGTCAAAATATTTGATTTGTTTTTGTGGTGTAAAACAACATTTTTACTGTTACGCTAACGACACGCCAAATATGCATATTTTTTGTTGTTAGTTGCTAATTTTGCACAAACAGAAAAAACAAATAATTCTTTTGTTAGAAAAGAAAAACGAAAAAACAAAGCATAAACTTGCCTTTGTCCCATTTTCACCAGCTTCTTAGCTTTGGCAATTCATAAGGAAATGTCCCATGGAAGGAACATGAAGATGAAGATCCATTCAAAATGAGACGTTCTGAATCCCACACTATAATTGACCAAACGCAGCTCTCTTTTCTCTCTGAAACAAGAAATCACCTCTCTTCCCTCTTTCGATCTCTCGCTCTTTATATCATAGGATTGAAGAGATGGTTCTTATTACAATGCCTCCTATGCATGAGGCGGCTGTTCTCTCGACTCCCTTGTTATCATCATTCTCCACTGCAAGCAGCTCAAGCAGTGAAGCCGATGACAGCCCGCTCGCCTTGATTCAAGATGTCACAAAATATGAATTCCCATGCAAGTCGCTACGTGTGTTCGAATCGTATAAATCGCTGGCGGTGCTGTCCGAGCATATCGGCTCAGTTTCTTGCTTGGCCATATGTGGTGAATTCATCTTGAGTGCATCACAAGGCAATGATATTATAGTTTGGCAACAGCCTGACTTGAGGCAGTTCACAAAGTTTGGCGAAGGCGAGGGCACTGTCAAGGCGCTTGTTGCCGTCGGCAGCAACGTTTTCACAGCACATCAAGATAGTAGGATCAGAGTTTGGAAGGTGACGAGAAGCTCAGAGAACGTTTTTAAGCTTGTTAACACACTTCCTACTACCAAGGACTACCTAGGGAATTTCATGAAGCAAAGCAATTATGTCGAAACTCAACGCAATCATAAGCATTTATGGATCGAGCACGAGGATACTATATCTTGTTTAGCATTCTATAAAGGGTTGATTTATTCTGGTTCATGGGATAAGACCCTTAAGGTGTGGAGGATATCTGATTTGAAGTGTCTGGAATCAATTGAGGCTCATGATGATGCTATCAACAGCTTGGTAGCTCGTAAGGGAATAGTCTACTCAGCATCAGCCGATGGTAAGATCAAGGCTTGGGGAACACAGGGGAAGACCTCTCATTCTTTGCTGGGGGTTTTGGAGAATCATAAGGATGTTTCAATGAACACGGTCGTCGTTTCCGACAATGGGAAGTGGGTCTACGGAGGAGGTTCGGACGGTTATGTTACGTGTTGGGAAGGGAATGCTGATTCTTTTACTTGGAAATGGGTAGCTGAGAAAAAAGCACACCAGATGGCTGTTATGTGTATGTGCATGGTGGGAGATCTTTTGTTCACTGGCTCAAGTGATAAAACCATTGGTATTTGGAAACGTGGGGCTTATGGTCAACTTTGTAAAGTTGGGGTCATAAATGGCCATGAAGGACCAGTCAAGTGTTTGCAGGTATCACCCTGTACTGTTGGTACTGGTTTCATGCTGTACAGTGGAGGTCTTGACCGATCATTAAGGGTCTGGTGGGTGCCTAAAGATGGGGACACAACAAGAACATAATTAGCACATATCACAAATCTATTGTGTTGTAATGTTTGTGTTAGTAAAAGACTCATTCTTTATTTCATTTGTTTGTAGTGCTTTCAAAATCATTTGGTTTGGTTTTGATTATAGTTGTGAACGTAGGATGAAATTCTTCTTAGTGATGTGTGATCAATTGTGATCCTTTTTATTTGTGAAGTGATATGAAAGAAAGTTTCAAGCAATACATTTTTCTATTTCATGTTCATGATTGAGAATATAGCAGGTTCTATTCATTACAACGAAATAGGTTTTTAGCGGCGATTTTTATTCATATAGCGGAGTTTTTTAGCACCGCTAAAAACAATTGTGGCGAAAAAAATGCACCCAAATGCGCCGTTGAAACCAACGCTGCAAAAGGTGGCAGCACTTTTAGTCTAAAACGTCGCTAATGGCTATGATTTTTAGCGGAGTTTCTTCCATAAACGCCGCTAAAGATTATGACTTTTAGCGGCGTTGTTAAGAAACACCACTATATATATTTTCCTTTTGTGGCGTTTGTAAAAAACCGCCACTAATTGTTGTGACATATAGATGCGTTTGTTCCAAAAAAAAACCCAGGTAAAGGTCATGACATATAGTGGCGTTTTTATAGTAAAACGCCGCTATTGATAATTCTATAATGGCATATTTTGTATAAACGCCATAAATTATCTAAAAGGTTAGTGGCGTTTTATAGTAAAATGCCGCTATTAACAATTTTATAGTGGCATTGTTTGTTTAAATGTCGCAAATTATCTAAAACTTTAGTGGCGTTATTTTTGTAAAACGTCGGTATTGATTATGTAATTAGCGGCTTTTTTATACAAACACCGCTAATTAACACTGGTTTTACAACTATTGATTTCCACTCTTCTGTTACCTAAATTTAAATTTTCAACCTGTACCATTACCCAATACACATGACATCTATAACAACAAACTTTAATTCCATAACAACCAACTTCAAATCCATTATAGTAAATCAAACTTTACATTAACGTAATATGTAATGCAGTTCAACATTGTTAAGTAGAATGAACAAATCATATAATTGAAATAAGACCTAAGATGGTGGACTATGAGGATAATTTTTTCGTATCATCTGCACCATAGCTTCTAGTCGATTTTCAGATTCTTGACATTTCTGTTGATATGTTGCTTCTCTCTCTGCTTCACTCGCCTCATTTTCGGCTTTCATGTTAGCCATTTTTTGATCCATTTCAGCCAACTATTTTTTTAAACGACTAACTTCTAATTGGGAAGACTGAGTCTGTTATGACATGTACTGGATACAAAATATTTAGTGGGAGAAACGAATGATCCTTGACAGCGAACCCGGCCATATCTTTCAGGACCCAAAACGTCATTAATAACTTGATTTTAAATGTCATCCGTATTAATAATACCATGACTTGAAGCCATAGCTTCATACTCCGCCCTTTTATCCCTCAATTTTTCCTAATAATAAAGTAAATAATTATTTCAAATAAGAATGTCATACTATAGTTATAAATATAACACAATTCAAATCCTCTGTCCAATAAATGTACCATAACTTTTGCAGCTTCAACAGTCATATGAGTGTCATCCTTTTTTGTATGTGTCATGTCGAAGAGTTTGATTCATCTAACTTTAGAACCATATGTATTTTCCTACAATGTAGAATAATATAATTAATTTTCGTTAGTATGTACATGGGGCTGTAAATCACTATGTGAATAATCTATAATACCTCATCATTAGTTATACGAGCAAAGCTCTTCGATCCAGCCATGTGAGTAAACTTTTTGTTATTGCCCGTTAGCAACACCAACATTCTCTCGGTCCTACAATTTCAAACAACCACTTATAAAGTCAATATTATAATTCCTTAATATTATTATTGAAAAATACATCATACATGTCCTTTATGTGAACTCCAAAACCTGACTGTATATTCCTATTGATACCTGAGCATTCCAGGTGGGATAGTTTGTAGCTTCTCTTCAAGGTTGAGATCATTCTTGAAGTATTTCTTTTTTAATGAACTCTTGTGGTCTCTCCATCTCTTCCCTAACGCTTGCTTCAAATAATCGTCAGAGACCTCTAAAGAAAATTTCTCATATACATAACATAAGTGTTAAAAGTAAGTATAAATTACTATTGAATTGTTATGGATTATCTATTATAATGACATTATTACCCTAACAAAATCCAAAGCCTTATTTTTGTTACTATTTGGCATATCACACCATGACTCATAATTGATCGGTAAAAGATTAGCATTACGTCCAGCCATGCCTAAGTAACCGGATAGAATACGTGTTTCTAGGTCAATAGGTTGACTGACATCGTTTCTTGAAACTTTCACACGGTGCCCAGGAGGAAGTTGGTATAATTCCTTCAACATTGTACGCCCTCTAGTCTTGTGTGTTCCATCATTTTCAACTATATAAGAAATAATTAAATGTAAGTTTTCAAAATGAACAAACAATTAAAGAAAGTGCCAAACATTACCTTGAATTTCTACGGCTTCTTCAACAGTAATAGGAACTTCCGAAGTGTCAACAACATTCGATTCCTCATTATTTGTTTGTTCATACTCTTGATAAGCTCGAATAATCCATAAATCACTTATTTTTCTCATTGGATGATATCTGTAATAAACAAACAACAATTTTAGTAAGAAAACGGTTTAATTAATGAATATATTGAAGGACAAGATGTTATAAGTTATAATATTACAAATTAATAAATTAAGATATAAAATCTTACTACATTATTATGTTATATCAATTGTCATAAATATCTTCATCAACGTCCTCCTGAACGCATTGAAATTGTGTAGTATTAGTGATAATTTCATCTAAGTTTTGTGCTATAAAATGTAAAGATTCTGATCTTGTTTCAATCTCATCTCTACTTCCATCCCTGATGTTTATCAAGTTTCTGGGGGTATTACGGAGCACAACATACCAACCCTCATCCATTGGATCATGACAGTAAAAATCTTGTTTCACTTGAGAAGAAAATACATATGGTTCATCCATCAATTGTTGACCAGTGTGAATTAATCTAGAGAAATTCACCATTGTAAATCCAAATTTATCTCTTTTTATGTCTCGAGTAGTGTTTACATCAACCCAGTCACACCAAAATAGCACAACATTTCGTTTTCCATAATAATCTAACTCAATAATGTTCGTAAGAATTCCATAATAATCTACATCTCCCTTCAAAGGATGATTGTCCCTACCACTAGCATAACTTGTAGTTGAAGAAGTAACTATTACTCTACAATTTTGTGTCCTCTTTAATATTTTACGAGATTTCGTGTAGAACTTGAACCCATTAATGGGGAAGGCATTATATCTTTTAACAATTCTATTCAGACCTTGAGAAAGCCATTTAATATCTTTACTAACTTCTCTCCCACTCCAAACCTATTACACATGAATGGTGAATTAATTTTCATTGATTTCGATATAAAAAAACAAGACTTATATATTATTTATAACTATGTGAAATGATTTAGTTGCTTACCGTCTGGCCTAACCATTCATGAAAAGTTTTTGTGAATAACTTATATATCTCTCGCTGATGTAATCTTCAGGAGCGTGCACGAGATCTCAAGACTTCTTTAAACTTACTATAAAATATATTATGTCGTTAAAGAATGAAAAATATAAAATATTAAGAATTTTCATTAGGATTGAGTCCGAAAAACTTATGTGCAAAAGGGATCTATTGAATCATGATGGAAAAGAACATATCGGTGTGCTTGTACCCAAGACGTATCATCTAAGTGTGCAAATTTTAACTTTCCCGAGTGGTTCACCATAACTTCTACACAAATAAGTATGAGGTAAGTCATTAGTACTGAACACATCATTTCTATTTGTTCTATTCAATCTTGTTTCAAAATCTTCCAAATATCTAGAGCAAAATGTCATATATTCCTCTGTCAAATACCCTTCACCAATTGATCCTTCCAGATAACGCTTATTACGAAGTAAGACTTCAACTTGCACAAGAACCTATACACAAAACAACATACTATGCAAATATATTTTGTGAAAAGGTATAATCACTAGTTATTTAAAACATATAATTCAATTAACACCTCTCTATAGGGTAAATCCATCGATAGAAAACTGGTCCACTAACTTTTGCTTCGTGAGGAAGATGAATTAGCAGGTGAACCATAATTGTGAATAATGAAGGAGGAAATATCTTCTCCAAGTTGCAAAAAGTCAAGGCAGCTCGATATTGTAGTTTCTCAAGTTTTTCAACCATCAGAACTTTCCCACAGATAGCTTTCATTATATTAGAAAGTTCAATGATACAAGACTCCACCTTACTCGACATGCAATTGCATACAACTACTGGCAGTAAATATTACATTAATAAGTGATAATCATGTGACTTTAAAGAATAGAGTCTTAGATCTTTAACACTGACACATCGAGATATATTTGATGCATACCCATCTGGGACCTTTATATCCTTCAACACCGTGCAAAACACTTCTTTTTCTTTCTTCGAAAGAGTAAAAATAGAAGGTGGCAAGAAATATTTTCCATTAGGATGTAATTGAGGATGAAGATCATGCCGAATTCCCATATCGACTATGTCAAGTCGACTCTATAGATTATCTTTAGATTTTCTGTCGACATTGAGAATGGTCCCGATAATATTCTCACAAATATTCTTCTCAATGTGCATTACATCAAGATTATGTCTCAAAATGCGATCCTTGCAATAAGGCAACTCGAAGAATATACTCCTCTTTTTCCAAATGTCTACCTCATTTGGATCATTCTCTTCATCAGACTCATCATCACTCTTTTGGTCAACATCACAATCATATACATGCTTTGCCTTTTTCTTTGATCGTTTATTCAATGGTTGATTAATCTTTCCATAAGTAAAATTGATATGTTTTAACATGGAGAATATATCAGACCCGGTTGTTTGGTCAGGAGCTTTTTGAAACTCTTCAGTACCATCAAACATATTCTTTTGATTTCTAAATATATG